TTAAAAAATTCAGTAAAGAAAGAAAACAAGTTATGTCTGGAGAAAAACAAGATGTAGTAAACTACTACATACAGTATACCTTAGCCAATGGATCTCAATGGAAGATGATAAAAAATGGAAATTGAATGGCGTGTTAAAAGTGATTGGCAGTTATTCTGCAAGCTAAGCATAATTTTCAAGAACAACCTCCCCCTATGCCTGAAAAGTTTTTGATCAGTGTGTGTTACCTTCTCTAACGTATGTCCATGCCGGTGAAACATGGACACTAACTTCACAATCGATACAAAAGCTATGAGTGGCACAAAGAGCCATGGAAAGATACATGCTTGGCATCACTAGACAAGATGGAAAGAACTGCACAGGGATTAGAGAACAAACAAAAGTATAGAATATCATCAAGAGAGTAAAAGAATTGAAATGGAGATGGGCTGGTCACATAGAAAGAAGAACTGATGGCAGGTGGACCAAGGCAGTCACAGAATGGATCCCACTTGATAAAAAGTGTCTACGAAAGAGACCTAAAACAAGATGGACCAATGACATCAGCAAGTATTGCGGGCCCATTTGGCAAAAGAAAGCTCAGGATCGTATAGGTTGGAAACATGCGGAAAAGGCTTTCATCCTGCAGTGGATAGACAATGGCTAAAATGATGGTGATATATTCTATTTTTCTTTTATAAGTACTAAATTATTATGGCATCAATAATTTAAAATTGCATGAAATATAAAACATAACGTTAGGATTGAAATTTTGATGATCTAGGAACAGAAAGTTCCAGAAACCATTCAGAGTCAATGGTTTGTATTTTGTTACTCCTATAAATTGAAAACGATCATTTATAGGAACAAACTTTGGCAATACTTAAAAGTCAACTTCTCTTGATGGAATACCTACCAAGGAATAAGGACTTTTCTTGAGGCTTTCTTGTGTCTATGCTTTAGTACACTCTAGTTTCCCTCCAATTTTGTCATGTTTCTCTGAACATTGTACCCTTTATCTCAATTTCCTTTTGTCTTTGCCATACAGTGGTATAGCTAGCAAAATATTCTACACACCTTTTTCATTCTGCTCACAGCTCATGGGTGGACATTCTTTTCCTCTCAGTTCTCTCCCCAATTTGTTTTACAGCTTCCTCTTTTCCTGCACGTAAATGATTCCTTGTATATTTCACCCAACGTCTATCCTCTTGCTTGATTAATGCTTTTCTGGTTCATATAACCAAATACTGTTTCTTTTCATATAACTTTTTTTCCCCATAAGGGTAACCCTCCAGGCATTCTCACTCTCATAGGATAATGAAAAATCCCACCAATTGGTGGTATTCAGGAAAGCCTCTGAAGATTGATAAATATACTATGTCTTCTTCCAGTAGGCAAATTGTTATCATGACTATTTTCCTTGGTGTCTTAATGGATAGGAAGATTTAATATTATTGGTTGGTGAATTTTTATCTAGCTATTTTATTTTGTATTATTTGTATTGTTTATAAGCCATTTAGAACTTTTCAGAATTAATGGAATATAAATTGCAATAATAAATAAATATATTTAATTAAAAAGACCCAAAAACCCCAATATGTAACTCAGATGGAAATCTTCAAAGTTTTTCATATTTAGTAATATTTTCACATGAGGAATTTGTATCTAAGCCTATTAGAACCAACTACTGCTACTTATATTTCTGTGAACTTCTGGGCTACACCTTCCTCTGCAAATGACAGAAAGTAACATCCTGATCATTAGTTCAGAAGCTAAGAAAGCTACCCACACTTTAGCCTATAGTGAGGATAAGCATGGATAAAAAAGACATTGTTGTAATTACAGAAAAAAAAATCAGTATTTATGTTGCATAAATGCTTTCTAAATCACAAAACTCATTAGATTTTGTATCTGAGATGTTCTTATAGGTTCTGAGTAAGATCTGAATCTATTAGACAGCGCTGATACTTTAACCAGCTTGTACAAGGATGAAGTTTTCAGGTCTCCTCATAAAGATAGGCAAGAAATTTAAAGAGAAAAGGCAACATATGATACAATATATGAATACTGTTGAAGCAAGGATAATTTGTAAGGTCAGAAAGTCACGATAAAGTTTAATAAATTGTACCGGTAGAAATTAAATTCAAGTTAAATTTTTACTGATCTTTTGCCTTCAGTTTATTTTGCCCACTACTCCTTATTCTTTCTTACTTTGTTCAATGAAAGGGAAAGGCATGCTGGATACATATACATATTGTTGTTCATCTTTTTAGCCATTCTGCAGCTCCTGGATCTTTGCTGAAAACCAATTGCACCGTTTTCTGCTATTTTGAAGTGGGAAACATTCTATCATAATTTAAAAGGAATGTACCCAAAAATCCCCACTCAAAATGTTGCTATAACTATATAAATGTTCATGCATACTTTGCAGTTCTCAGCCCTATAGTATTAAATTGTGGCTTGGCCATCAAATGTTTATCAAAAATTGAACTACATTACAGCAGACCTACACCACTATGCAAAAAACAAACCCCACTAAGTTCTGTAGCTCATATTTCCTAGTAGCTATACTCAGAGCAGCAATCTAAAGCAAATTAAACTTAGTACTCTACTAAAATTAGTGCTGAGTTAACTATTTCTGACTAACTTTCCTCAGAAATCTCAGCGGGGCTTAACATGTGATTCAGTGTATGTTTATTTAGGCTATTTCCACACCAATGATTTATACTGTTCTATAGTGGGCCAATGCTGTGGTGATATATTATGAATGAAGGCAGGCTTTAGATTCCTGCAACAATAAGTAGATAATGCTATAAGATACTATAAATCAATAATATGGAAATGACTGTGCAGCTAAATTTCACTGAATTCAGGGTGATTTACTCCAATAGCACTATGTTTAGGATTGTAATTGTAACTTAAATTTAATTGAGATGAGTCCATCAACACAGCTGATCAGGTTAGTTCAAACTTCTGTCCATTAAACCACATTGGTTTATTGCCAATGATTTCAACATTAAGGCTCTGAACAAAACAATAAATGAAGAAATGATTCTGTTTGTTTTACTTGCATGGAAGTACACTGCAGTCATGCAAATCAAGAAACCTGTTTTAAAGAACCTTAAATAATTGCATATCCTCATACTTTAAATGTTTCAAAACCCTGAATAATCTAGCATAAAAACTGGCTATTCTATCATGTTCTGCTGTGGTCCATATTACTATGTTTAGTATGATGGCATCTCCATACTACATTTTTTTAAATTGAGAATCTCTTCTAAAAGAGCAGGACAACAGAACTTGATGAAGGGACATTGCTAGCTGTTGCTCTGTATTTAAATTAAATGTATATTACATAATTTCAACAAGTTCAAATGCCACAATGTCTTAAAATTCATGAAAGCAAAGTTAACTTCTGTAAAGGAAACCAAAGGGAATATGTAATGTTAGAGAAATAAATTTACATTTCATCATTTCATATCTCTCTCCTTTTCCCTAAGGCACAAAAAACCCGTGTTCTTAAATAAAATTCAAAGCTTCTACTAATTGCAGACTACACGAATGTCATCTTGACACAAGATGCTCCTCATTTAGTCATATATTTAAGATAATTTAACATGCCAAGACAATACAAAAGCCCAAAAGTTCAGTTCGGCTCCAAATGAAATTTGTTGGAATGGACACCGAAAAGTAGTTTTTATTTTTGTTTCTCCTCTGCACTACGATAACAACCCTGTCTACTTCGATCTGAGATCGCAAAAGCACCACCCCTAATCTAAAGCATGCATGCTCGCGGGCGCGTGTAGCAGAAGTGAGTCACTATTCCAGTGAACTGATGATTCATCCATTCAGTCATCCTTTTCAGGCCAAATTAACAAGCAAAACACACGTGGGTTCTAATCCACAAATCCTTTTACCCAGAATCGGCGGGATTCGATACGCCCCTGAGTTCTTTTAACTCCACCCACGGCTCCAAATATCGATTACCTCTATTTTCCTCCATGACGAAAGCAACCCCCCCCGTAGAAAACCCAACACGTGCCCAACAAGATAGGCGATACACCCCCGTCAATAGGTGTCCTTTCCATCCCATAAAACTCTTTTTTAAAAACGTCCCTTTGGACTCAGGCACCTGCCAGGTCAGGTGCACAATCGGCTCTTCAGTTTCACTTTTGAGATTTTGACTGCGCGTGTGCAAGAGCTTTCCTCCGGCTGAACAGGGCCAGAAACATCACACCCGAGAGGGAGAGGGAGAGAGAGGGAAAGGTGTATCCGGATCTCTCTTCGCCCCAGTCACAACTTGCACCGTTCCTCCTCCTGTGACACCTTACATAATACGGGCTCCCAGCAAATGAAAAGAGGAAGCCAGCAAGCAAAGCCGCCTTCGGGCACCGAGAGGAGCAGATGCTCCTCCGGACCAGCCACTCTTCGCTCTTTTGAAAAAAAAAACCGAGTGACGCCGGCTGGGCTAGAAAAATCCGGAATGGAAGAAGCGACGCAGCAGCCCTGGCCGCCCTTGCCCGCACGGCCGGGGTGGATTTGCTTGGCCGCCCTCGGTTCCCCTTTGCTGAGGTTAAAGCCAAAGTGTCTCTTCGGGTTTTCCCCCAGCCGCCACCTCCCCCCCCCCACACACACCGTTGGGAAATGTCAGCCCGGCTGAGCCGCTTCTCTCAGCCCGCGCGCGCTTGGGAGTGGCTCCGAATTAAGCGGGGTTGGGGGGGAGGAGGGGAGAAGAAGGGGGGCAAACAAGAAAGAAGTTAACTCTCTTTGCCGGTCCTTGGAAACCGCGGCGGACGAGTGTCCGCGGCTACCCGGGCTGCTCCCAGGCGCGAAGTGGCCGGAGCAGAGCCGCTGCTTCCCTCAACTTGTTCTGACAGGGGAGCCGTTCCCCCTTCGCCTCTGCCGCCAACCCTTCGCCCGACGCCTTCATTTCCCCCCCCCTCCCATTTCCTCAACTTTCCTCCGGGGTTGGCGGAAGAGAGTGAAGGCGCGGGAGAACAGCCGGGGCAGACGGCCCTTACCTTCCCCCGAACGCCCCGAGAGCGGAGCCCGCGGACGCAGCGCCGGAGTCCTGGATGGTGCCGGGGAGCGAGAGGTGCGCTGGAAGCTGCCGTTCAGCTGACAGGAGTTCCGCCGGGGAGGGGGAAGGAGCGAGCGAGCGAGCGAGGGAGGAGGAGGAGAACGTAGAGAGTCTGCGAGGAGGAAGGCTCGCGCCGCGGAGTGGAGGGAGCGGTGCAGGGGGGGAGGGGGGCGGAGGACTTTCCCAGAGCTTGTTGTTTACGCATTGCTGCCCTGCTCGGTGCACACAATTCATTCTCTGATTGGACACAAACTGGGGCACAGCCTTTCGCTGCCCGCCCGCCCTCTCGTCTCGCACGGCCATGGTGCGGCCGCCACTCGGAGCCCCCAGGGAAGAGCGGCCCGGGAGGGCGGCTGGCAAGTTTGTCCCGCGGAAGGGACTTCGGCTCCCGGGAGGCAAAGCTTTACGCACCAACCGAGGAGCCAATGGCATCCAGCGGGCCCGCAGTGAACGCATCCTCGCGCGCGCACCACTGCTGGTCCAAGCTCAACTCTCTCTCCCCCCCCCCGCCTCTCCATTCCGCCCGCGAGGTATTCATCCCCCCCCCTTTTTTTTTTACCCTTCCTGGTCCAGCCGCACACACGCTAACCAGGACGCTGGAGCAAGGAGCATGTGCGTAGCCCTGACGCATGCTCCCTAAAGCTCAGTGAAGGCGCAGTGACGCTGCTGCCCTTAGATGTCCTTTTCGTGCCTTGATAGCGACGGTAGTTATTTAGTCTGCAGCTCCGAACCTTTCATGAACTGATCTCCTGTAGAAAGGTGTTGGGTTGCTAAGAAGGAGAAACTAGGACTTTACTCTTATAGTTTTAGTCTTACCCATGGGAAAGTAGAGCTTTAAGGTGCCCGCAGAGCAGTTGACTATAGAGAGAGTCAACTCGAAGTCAACTGATCAAAATAGGAGTGTGTGGAGTTTAGGGGCAAGTATGTGTGCGTTCGCGTCAGTGTTGACTGGCTGGATTGGTCCCTGCAATATTTTGGCAAGATTTGGGAAGTGGCTTGCATTGCCTGCTTCCTAGGGCTGAGAGAAAATGACTAATTCAAGGTCACCCAGCTGGTTTTGTGCCAAAGGTCGGACTAGAACTCAGGATCTCCTGGTTTCTAGCCTGATGCCTTAACCACTACAGAAACTGACTGTCCCCCAGCAATAGAATGGAAGCTTATTGTGGATGATTTGTCACCGAGGACTATCTGGAGAAGTGCAGCTAGGGCCGGGCTGCAGCTCCCAGGAGCCAAAATTTGAGAGATGGCATACAGTTTGTCTGTGTCTCTGTGTGTCCCTGAGATGGATCTTACCCATCTCGGGGCATTTGATGTAAAATGAAGCAGTAATTGGAAATTCATCCTTTATATAACTGGATGCAATGGCTTGTGCTAGTTGCTAGTTTGTGGGGGGGGAGCATGGTTAAAGATTGGTGTGTTCAAATCCTAAACCTGTATGTATGTATCTGATGATCTGCAGGAGAAACTCACTCCAGGCTGTGAAATACATTCCCTGGAGATTGCTTAGCATCCAGTAAACTGACCATTAAGTTAGGGACCTGAGTCCAAGTACTGTACCCCCAAATGTTTCAGGGTAATCCCATTGACATAATGGCATAACTGGATGGGAGCCTTTAATTGCTATTATGGTAGTAAGGAAGGTAGATTTGGCCACAAGATAATTTGTGACTAGCAGGCTAGACCTAAGGATTACAAGTGATAGAGAACCTCCTTGATTGGGCAAAAGCTTCCCCAAAGGGCTTTTAATTACACAGCATATTCTATAAAACTGTGAAAGAAAATGGAATTTTTCAACATCTAAACATGAGCCCAAGATAATCCAAGTGCATATTCAAGGTGGTGGTAAGATTTGATGTCCAGGTTTTAACAAGAACGTTTCTCAGTAAAAAAAAGTCTCCTTGTCCAAAGCTCCTTGATGGCTTAGCCTGTCCTTGTATTCCTGGACTGGTGCAAGTTTTAAAATCTGTGTTTTCAGTCTTACTGTTTTGTGAATTCTTTCCCTTTGTTTTTGTAAATAGAAGCTGTTAAGGAGCAAATCCAGGTTGAAACAACTGACAGGGCACATTTTTTTCTCTGTTATTTGCCTATCTTTTTCCCTATCCCACCATTCCCCTTCCTTCAGTTTCCATCGCTCTGGTTGGAAAAGCATTTTTATTAAGAGACAAAGAATGGCATTCCTGCCGCCTCATTTCTCATTTAGCTGGACCTTTGTTTTCCACTGCTGCATGGAAATGTAGGTTTTTCTATTATTTGTTTACTAAATATTGCTCCTTTGTCTTTTGATAAATAATACCTTTATCCCAAAGACTGCCATCAAGCAATCCAATCTGTTTCATCATTCATCAACAGTCTGTTTCATCATTCAGTACAACTAACTAATGAACAGACATTATACACATCTGGCTAATCCTAATTTTTAGCAAACTATTTTCACCTGGTTTTCTTTTGTTGCTAGTCTCAACTCAACCTTCCCCAATGTCTTGCCATTCAGATGGCTTGGGAATACAACTCCTTTGGGATCTGAAATGCCATCATATTTGGAGGGTGCCACTTTAGGAATTCCTTCCTCTATTTTTACACCCCTTCATCCACCCACATAACCAAGAGAGGGGAATAATTCACAATTACAAAGATGAATTACTGCAAAAAAACCAGCTATGTAGGATTGAATGTTCTGTTTTAGGACTGATTTAGATTTCCCAGCTTTTCTGGGTTGCCTGTTCTCCACCTTTTCAGTTCCTATAGCTGAAGGACAAAATCGTATTGGTCTTAGCCCTATAGAGCTGTATGTATAGGAGCCTAGTGGTGCAGTGGTTAGAATGCAGTATTGCAGGCTAACTCTGCACACAGCCTGGAGTTTGATCCTCAGGGGGCTTGAGATAGACTCAGCCTTCCATCCTTCCAAGGTCAGTGAAATGAAGCCCTGATTTCCGGGTTGGGCTGGGGCAGTATGCCAAAGATGACACATGGTGAAAGTTGCAGTACTGCTATTTAGAAGTCCATCCATTATCTTCCACTGAGAAATCCTATTTAGTGGTAACTCCTATTGAACTCAGTGAGAGTTCTGAATAGATATTTTATGAATGAGAAAATACTTCCCCTCCTATTTCTTAAAAATGCTGTTTTTTAAAATAAAGCATTTCTTCCCTTTGATTGATCCTGCAGTCAAAGCATACTATTACACTATCTTACCTACTTAATACTCATGTGATGTTTCCTTTTTTTAAGAAAATAATTTTAAACATCAAAACTGGTTGTTTATCCTCTTCAAGATAACTTGGCATGCAAGAATTAAGTAAAAGAAGCTTTTCCTGGGCTGGGGAAAAAGCAGTTGAGAAAGCAGAACTTATTTAATTTCTGCATGGCAGCTTCTAAAAGCCATATGAGCTGGGCCAACAGAGGATGCCAATCCAAATAACGCTTAAAGGAAAAACCAGGTTTGTTTTCAAAGCATCTGGGAAGGGCCTAAAAGTACATGGTTGAAACAGCATGGAATTCATGTCCTTTATAAATGGCACTGTTAATTCACAAAAACTCTTAAATCAACAGCTTCTGAAACATTCCTGGGGAGTTTGAGCTTTTGGATAAATACTCCAAGGGGAGATCTTTAAGCAGTTTATTTATGTTGTGTTTAGCTACAGATGCATTCTAGCCAGAAGTAACACCTTTAAATCCCATTAAGTAAATGGAGAAGTTATGCATGCACTTAACTTTTTCCAATGGACAAAGCGAAATGCTAAACTTTTAGGGGACTTTGCTCCTTTCATTAATTATATTTAGTTTACAATGAAAAGACTTTTTCTTTCTTTCTTTCTCTTTTCAGCATCCAAATTCTCTCATAAAGGTTGAAATGAAATAAAGTTTTATTGTGAAGTGCAAAATATTTTAAAGTACTTTGTTGTTTTCTAAATATAGAGAGAACTTAAGATGTGTTTATAAAAATTAATGTTTATTGTAACATTATTTAGATGAAGAGGGTTTGTTTGCAGGGGACCAGAGGGAAGTTATATTTATGACCTCACTTCATTAATTTAATCAAATAAACATGCAATTCCTAGACTCTGTCATTTATTCTCCGATAATACTTTTCTATGAATCCTGAAGCCTAAAATGCTGATTCATTTAAATACAGATTTCCATGGTGCACAAAGCATAGACGAGTTCATCTGGCCAGATTATTATTTTTATAATTATTACAGTTTCATTTCCTCCATGGGTGGTTTACTGTTTTTTTAAAAAAAAGTTAAATGTAAAGATGCTGTAAAGATCTTTTCTGCATAGGAACCTGGAATGTAAGATCCATGAATAAAGGCAAGCTAGACGTAGTCAAACAAGAGATGACAAGACTGAACATCGACATCTTAGGAATCAGCGAACTAAAATGGACAGGAATGGGTGAATTTAACTCAGATGACCATCAGGTATACTACTGCGGGCAAGAATCCCTCAGAAGAAATGGAGTAGCCTTCATAGTCAATAAAAGAATAGGAAAAGCAATACTGGGATACAATCCCTAAAATGACAGAATGATCTCAGTTCGAATCCAAAGCAAACCATTCAATATCACAGCAGTCCAAATCTATGCCCCAACCACTGGTGCTGAAGAGGATGAAATTGACCGGTTCTATGAAATCCTACAGCACCTTATAGAATTAACACCAAAAAATGATGTCCTTATCATGGGGGATTGGAATGCTAAAGTAGGAAGCCAAAAGATAACTGGAATAACAGGCAAGTTTGGCCTTGGAGTACAAAATGAAGCAGGGCACAGGCAAATAGAATTTTGTCAAGAGAATACGATGGTCATAACAAATACTCTTTTCCAACAACCCAAGAGACGGCTCTACACATGGACATCACCAGACGGTCAACACAGAAATCAGATTGACTATGTGCTCTGCAGCCAAAGATGGAGAAGCTCTATACAGTCAGTAAAAACAAGACCAGGAGCTGACTGTGGCTCAGATCATGAGCTGCTCGTTGCAAAATTTAGGCTTAAATTGAAGAAAGTAGGGAAAAGCACTAGGCCACTCAGGTATGAACTAAATCATAT